TTGCAATCTTGGCAATGTGTCAGCACTCTCCCCCTTTCCCTTTACACCCTGAGGTTCCCCATGTCCGTTCATCCAGTTTTCCTGTCTCTTCCTGCCTTTTCATCTTTGCTTTTAGGCAGGTGTTGCCAATTTGGTTTCACTGATTGAACCAAGAAGAACATTCCTTATGAGTCTTACTGTATGTTTGACAGAACTGTCTAATCTTTGGCTGAAAGGCAGACTTTGGGAGTGGCTTCAGTTCTGAGTTAAAAGGGTGTCCAGAGGCCACAGTCTCAGAGGTTCCTCCAGTCTCTTTCTGGCCTCTTTTCACGAATTTGAATTTTGTTCTACATTTTTCTCCTGCTCTGTTTGGGACCTTCTATGATGATCTGTGTTAGAGCCAGTCACCATCTAGTTCTTCTGGGCTCAGGCTGGAGGAGGCTGTAATTCATGTGGTCTACTAGTCCTTTGGACTAATATTTTCCTTGTGTCTTTGGTTTTCTTTATCCTCCTTTGCTATGGATGGGATGGGACCAATACATGTATCTCAGATGGCTGCTCACAAGCTTTTAAGACCCCAGATGCTACTCACCAAAGTAGGATGTAGAGCATCTTCTTTAAAAGGTATGTTATGCCAACTGACGTAGATATCCCCCAAGACCATGACCCCCAGCCCTCAGCGCCAGTAACTCAGTCCTTCAAGGTGTTTGGATGTGTCTAGGAAGCTTCTATGACTTTGCCTTGGTCGAGTTGTGCTGACATCCCCTATATTGTGTGTTGTCTTTCCTTACTGCCAAAGTTGACCCTTGTCTACTATCTAGTTAGTGATTTCCCCTCCCTCCCGTGTAACCATCAAAGATTGTTTTCTTCTATGTGTAAATCTTCTCTAGGGTTTTTATAATAATGGTCTGATACAGTGCTTGTCCTTTTGTGACTGACTTACTTCACTTAGCATAATGCCCTCCAGATTCATCCATGTTATGTGATGTTCTGCAGATTCATCATTGTTCTTTACCATTGTGTGTACGCACCATAGTTTGTTTACCCATTCATCTGCTGATGAGCACTTAGGTTGTTTCCATCTTTTTGCTATCATGAATAATGCTGCAATGAATATGGCTATGCATATGTCTATTTGTGTGACGGCTCTTATTTCTCAAGATATATTCCTAGGAGTAGGATTGCTGAATCCTGTGGTACTTCTATTTTTTTAAGGAGGTGTCATATCCTTTTCTATAGTGTTTGTACCATCTTACATTCCCACCAGCAGTACGTAAGAGTTCCAATCTCCCCATACCCTCTCCAACCTTTGTTATTTTCTGTTTTTTTTTTTGATTAGTGCCAGTAATGTTGGGGTGAGATGGCTATCTCATTGTAGTTTTGCTTTGCATTTCTCTAATGGCTAATGAGGAACCCTGGTGGCCCAGTGGTTAAGCGTTTGGCTTCTAACCAAAAGGCTGGCAGTTTGAATCCACCAGCTGCTCCTTAGAAACTCTATGGGGCAGTTCTACTCTGTCCTACAGGGTCGCTATGAGTTAGAATTGACTCAATGGCAACAGGTTTGCTTTAGTTTTTTTAATGGCTAATGATTGCAAGCATTTCCTCATGTGTCTGTTAGCTGCCTGAATGTATTCTTTGCTGAAGTGTCTGTTCATATCCTTTGCCCATTTTTTAACTAGATTATTTGTCTTTTTGTTGTTGAGATGTTGAAGTATTTTATTGATTTTAGAGATTAGACCCTTGTTCAGGTATGCCATAGCCAAAAATTTTTTTCCAGTCTGTAGGTTCTCTTCGTGCTCTTTTGGTGGAGTCTTCTGATGAGCTTAAGTGTTTAAGTTTTAGGAGCTTCCAGTTATCTAGTTTCTCTTCTGGTGTTTGTGCATTGTTAGTTATGGTCTGTATTCTATTTGTGTCACGTTATTAGGGCGCCTAGCGTTGTCTCTATTTTTTGTTCCATGATAGGTCTTCGATGCATTTTGAATTAGTTTTTATGTATGGTGTAAGGTATGGGTCCTGTTTCATTGTTTTACAAATGGACATCCAGTTCTTTTTAGACTGTCTTTTCCTCATTTAATGGACTTTGATCCTTTGTCAAAGATCAGCTGACCATAGGTGGATGGATTCACGTCTGGGTTCTCTTGTCTGTTCCAGTGGTCTATGTGTCTGTTCTTGTACTAGTACCAGGCTGTTTTGACTACTGTGGCTGTATAGTAGTTTCAGAGATCAGGCAGTGTGAGGGCTCCTAATTTGTTCTTTTCCTTCAATAATGCTTTGCTTATCCAGGGCTTCTTTCCTTTCCATATAAAGTTGTTGATTAGTTTTTCCATCTTGTTATGGAATGTTGTTGGTATCTGGGTAGGAATTGGATTGTATCTGTAGATCACTTTGGGTAGAATTGACATTTGCACAATACTGCGTCTTCCTATTCATGAGCATGGTATGTTTTTCCACTGTAGCTCTCTTTTGGTTTCTTGCAATAATGTTTTGCAGTTTTTTTTGTACGGGTCTTTTATGTCCCTGGTTAGATTTATTCCTAAGTATTTTATCTTTTTAGATAAAATTTAATGACCTGTCAATTTAATGACCTTGTGCTTTCTTCATGTATTCTGTCCTTGATGTCATTCCACAACTCATCTGATCTTCAGTCATTAGTGTTCAATGTGTCAAATCTATTCTTGAGATGGTCTCTAAATGCAGGTGGGATATACTCGAGGTCGTGCTTTGGCTCTTGTGGACTTTTAATTTTCTTCAGCTTCAACTAGAACTTGCATAGGTGCAATAGATGGGCCCCTGCCCTAGTTTTAACTAATGTTATAAAGCTTGTCCATTGTCTCTTTCCACAGACGTAGTCAATTTGGAGATGCCCCAAACTCTACACGACTACCCCAAAGACTGCAGGGATCATTAAACTAGCACATCAGTAACCATCCAGGACATATCATTGTGCCTCAACCCACTTGTTAGGAAACTCTGCCAACATGAATGAGATTAGCAACCCCTAAGAATGTGCATTTCTGTCTCCTCACTGAGAGTAACTGGTGTGGATGATCCACAAATCACTAGTCCCTCAAAGTACACTGTGTACAAGGGATTTGCGGTCCTATGTTTTGGGGAATGGCTACGTATCTTCTACCACCTCTTGCAAAATCAAAGTACTACATGTATATATTAAAGGCATTGTTGTGTCCTGCTATAAAAAATAGTAACTTTAACTTGTTCATTCCCATACTCATTTGACCAGAGCCCTTTTCTATACCTGTTGACATCCAGGGAACAGAGTTTGGAAAATCTTGCTTAACTTTTCTGACAGATGACTAATCAGCCTCAGCTTGATCATTCCCAGAGGTAGAGATGGGTACTACCTCCAGGTAATTCATTCCATTTTAGACAGTCTTATTAGTAGTCACACTTCAAGCTGAAACCATCCTTTACCTTAAAATGCAGAGATGATCCTTCTGCTATCTAGTGTTAGAAATCATATCTATTCATTCCTCCAAATGACGCAGGGATACAGCTATGGCAAACATAGAGTCGTTCTCTGAAAATGTCATACCCTTTCATACATGTTTTTGCATATGCTATTTTTTCCATCTGGAATACTCATCCTTTAGAAACTGCTCCTCTGAAATCTCTAAAGTCATACTTTTAGAATCAGTTAAATCAGAGCTTCTTTTATACCGTACTATCCCTAGACAAAAATCAGCTGGTACATGCTCCTGGAGTCCGTTATAGATCACTGTACTGAGGCACCCATTCACGACTGCCTTTTTGGTTAGCAGCCCAGTACTTAACCGCTGTGCTACCAGGGCTCCTTTCAGGAACTATACAGGACCATATACAGTAAAACCTACGAAAGCTGGAACCTGTGTAAGGTGGAAACCTGTCCTAGAAGGAAAGCACAAATATTTTCCACTAAAAAAAGCAGCAGAAAAGTGGTAAGACTGCACCCTATCAAAGGCGGAAAACTTGAGAGACCCAGAAAAACAAGGCAGTTCCTCTTGAGTTCTGGCTCTCACACGGTTCACTGTATTATGGATTATCCTATGTCAACTACATATCTGATTATCAGCACCATTCTATTATTCTGTGGAGCCCCAGTGGCGGAGTGGTTAAGAGCTTGGCTAACCAAAAGGTCAGCAGTTCAAATCCACCAGCTTCTCCTTGGAAACCCTATGGGGCAGTTCTACTCTGTCCTACAGGGTCACTATGAGTCAGAAATTACTGGATGGTTCTATTATTTCCTCTTCATTTCAATCTTATTATTTGTATTTTAAAAATGTTCCAAAATGACCTCAAATCCCTTGTGAAAAAATTAATAGTAACAATAATTTCCACTGAGTGCCTACTGTAAGCCAGACACTGCTCCAGGCACTCTACCCCTGATCCTGGAACGGCGAGAGAAAGGTACTATTATTTTACAGATGGTAAACAGAAGTAGAGTGGGGCTAAATGAGTTATCTAAGCTTGCAAAGCTAATTTGTGCCAGGCCAGGTTTAGATCCCACGTTTGAATGACTACAAAGTCTCACTGCACATAAAATAAGGTCTGATCTAACTAAAGACTGGCCTACACTTGACAAAAGGCAAGCCTTCTAACATTGCACAGTACCTTCTTCTGTTTGTAATAGTACTCGACGAATTCATTAAAAAATTTGCAGTTATTACTTAAGCAAAAGAAGAACAAGTAACCTGGCACCAATTTTACAAATTATTTAGAAAAATAATAAACTTCTGACAAAGGCAACATTTAATCATTTCTAAATGAGAATTAGAAAACCACACCACAGCTAAAAGTCCAAATACCAGATATAAATAAAATACTTATATTTACGAGGAAGCTAATGAAAAAGGATTAAGGCCAAAAGGGAAAAAAATAGATATATTATTCCAATGAGGAACACATAACCACGAAATGCTTTTTGGTGCCTCTAAAAACCAGAAAAAAAATTTTTTGGTAGGAAAATTATAACTCAAAATTAATCAGAGGTTATAAAATGAAACGTAAGTTAGAATAGCACTCACCTGCTCAAGTCACTTTTTCCATGGTGATGATAGTGGTCAGGATGGCTGAGGTGGTAGTGTTCTTGTCCACTCCACCTCTGGGGTGACCTTTTCCAAAATCCCTCCTGAGACTGCCGAACATTTCTGTCTGATCGGTCAAAGCGGTTCATATTGTCACACTCCACTAGACAGATTTAAAAGCAATACACTATAAATACGTACACACTCTATAAAAGTTAACAAAGCTTGATAATTAGATGCTGCCAATAATATAAAAGTAGTATTCTAAACGTAACAACCATTTATGTTAACTAATCACAAACTCAAAACTTTTCAAAGGAAAAATAGTGAGTTCTTCTGGTGATAATTGAACTTTATAGTAAAAAACTGAAGAAAATTATAACTTTTTTTCATACTCATGGAAGTCAGCAAGTGCCACACTGTTTTAAAACAAGCAAATTATCCTTGAAATCAACACTACACATTTTAAACAGCAGTAATCAGTTTTAAATGGTTTTTATCACTATCATTAGTTCAGATTTCAGAGTGAAAATTATGGCAAAAAGGAGAAAATTTTAAGTCTAGTAAAGAATTCATTCTTAAAACAAATGCCACAATTAATTTTCATTGATTTCAAGAAGTACAGATTAACTTTTCATCGAAAACAAACCATATTTTTAAATGAAGCTCACATTTTTAGAAAGACTCTTCAAATCTGCCTGCAGTAAAGTTTGTTCAAAAAGTCTAAAATGCCACTGAAAACAAAGCCAGTACTTTACAGCAACAAAGTACACTCCCTGCAATCCACATACCACAAAAACACGAAAAGAATCTCTTTGAAACATCCCAGCTTCTCTTTCACTTACCCAAATACTTTCTCCTCACATATCTGAGCACTCACTAACAGAGTTCCTTTGTACAAGGGAGACATTGTACTGCTTGGCAACCTACTCAGGCAGCTTACTCAGACATAGCTGCATGCAAGGCACTGACAAACAGGCCTTCCTTCCTGCTCAACTCCCAGCCCTCCCTTGGGAAGCCAGCCCAGTTTACCCTGTGACTCCATCTTCGCTCAGTGCTTACATAGCTACTGAGTTAGGACTGTTACTAAAAATAGAACTAGAACACTAACCCAAGCCACGGAACAGAAAAGGTTTCTCTAGTCTGAAAATTGTTGCATGATACAGTTCAAATTCTGCATGTTCACAATTCCTTGTGATAAAAAGCTTTAGTGGTCAATATAATCCCCAATTTGAGAGAAAAAAAAAAACTTATTTAAATGACTCTACCATTTCACTTAACCAAAAACTTTTTAATTTGAAAACTGGAGAGTGAGTCATTATAGTATACTAGTTAAAGATAAACCTTCCAAGTAAAAAAAAAAAAAAGAGATAATATAGTTAAAATAAATTGTAGATGTTGAATTCTCATATATATTGAACTCATTTTAATGTATTTTTTTCTAAATATGTAACAATTTAAACGGCTTTGAAAGGATGTCAAAATTTTGTTTACATTCATTAGGAGAGTCAATTTTGGGAGAAAAATAACCATGCATTTTAAGTAGACCCATACATCTTTTTTAAAGAAGTCTTACACTTGAAATTATTTCAAGCAATTCAATTTCGATTTCCTGTTATCTCATTTTGATAAATCAAAATTTAAAAAAAAAAAAAGAGTTCAATTATAGAAAACCTGACTGTAGGATAAATAATAGAATGGTGATCATTATGCCGAAGAAAACCAGAAGTGGAAAATGAGATTGCAAAAGAAAAAGAAATTAAAAAAAAAAATTGTAAAAAGGTTTAAAACTGCTTTTAGTTTACTCCCTTTAACAACATCATTTATAAATTCATATTTGTACTATGCTCATGGATTCCATCAAATAAGTTCTGTAAGTATTTCTACATGGCATTAAAATGTTAGTTTAGTTTAAGCAACTCTATATTGTTGTCAGGTGCCATCAAGTCGGTTCTGACTCACAGCAACCCTATGTACTACACAGAGTGAAAACACTGCCCTGTCCTGCGCAATGCTCACGATCACTGTTATGCTTGAGCCCACTGTTGCAGCCACTGTGTCAATCCATCTTGTTGAGGGTCTTCCTCTTTTTTCGCTGACCATCTACTTTACCAGGCATGACATCCTTCTCCAGGAACTGATCCCTTCTGATAACACGTCCAAAGTATGTGAGACGAAGTCTCGCCATCCTTCCTTCTAAGGGGCATTCTGGCTGTACTTCTTCCAAGACAGATTTGTTTATTTTTCTGGCAGTCCATGGTATATTCAATATTCTTCACCAATACCATAATTCAAAGGCATCACTTAAAAGGTTACTTCAGTTTAAGTAACTCTATATAGCTAAGGGATAATCTGTATCTACTTCTAAATACTCTGAATTCATAATTTTCCTTAATTCTGGCAGGAAAAACTCCACTTACTCCCAAAGGTGGAAATGTTTTTTATTTTTTTTTAAATTGTACTTTAGGTGAAGGTTTACAGAACAAATAGTTTCTCGTTAAGCAGTCGGTACACATATTGTTTTATGACCAAAGGTGGAAATTTTAAGAAGCCAGTATGTTCTTAGAATGATATAAACATGGTGCCCATAGAGTAACCAAAAGCAAACAAACCAGGCAAACAGACCAGGAAAATGGGTTTTAAATATTGTGGGAAATTACAATGCAGAAACTGATGTGCTGTTTTTGTGTTTGCTAAAAGTTGTTGGTACCACACACTGTAGGCTCCAAATTAAAGCATCTTTACCTCAACTTGAACTCAACATGGGCATAATGGTAAATAAGCATTGGAAACAAACATTTGCCATGATTACAAAAGGCTGAAGTTCAAACTGAAACGGAAGGGGCTTAAACTCTAAGAGGAATGACTGTTCCAAAACTCTGCAGGAAGTGTTCTGCTTATATTCCTACCTGAGGCACCTGTCATTCATGTGTTCTATATACTTCAAAAAGGTCTATCTCGCTGCTAAGAAGGGATGTGAAATAACATTGGTGGTAGTTTCTTAGAAAAGATTAAGGGTTCCCTGACAGGATCAAAGAAAGAGTATAGAAAAGAAAACGGAAAGTAAACAAAATTATGAAATGGAGAGACTTCAAAACAAGCTTCCAGAAGCTGGTAACTGAAGGAACAGGACAAACAAGAGTATGAAAGAAAGTGTCTCTAAATGTACAATGCCACAGGGAATGATAGGGCCTGTGGTAAACTAAAGAGAGGGTACTGGCAAACCTAAAGGCACCCCAATTTGAACATTTTTAAACCAATATGCTGATCAAAGCTGTCTGCAGGCCAGGTTTGGCCCTGACTATGAATTTAGTATCCCTCCTGGAAAATGAATATACAACTGAAAGAGGTCTCCTGCTCCAAAGGTATGAGGCAGCAGATTTTGGTAGTTCTTTTACTATGAGTAGGAGGCAGCGGAGGAGCCCTGGTTGCGCAGTGGTTAAGCACTCGGCTGCTAACTGAAAGGTGGGTGGTTTGGACCCACCAGCTGCTCTGTGAGAGAAAGATGCGACAGTCTTCTTCTGTAAAGACACACAGTGTTGAAAACCTGAGGCAGGGAATTCAAGTCAACAGCAATGAGTTTGGTTTTGGTTTTTTGGGAGGCAGACAGACAATATCAGGACTTTTACCCTCAGCCACTGGAAAGAGGATCTAACGCTGCTGAATGGTATGTGATGTGGGGATTCATATGTCTAAAACTCATCATACCCAATTCTCCTGAATTGATAAAGGAACAAAATATGACACACAGCATGAATCCAATCCCTAATATATGAGTACTGGGAGGTGGGGCCAAAATGGTGGGGTAGTTAGACACTTCCGGTGGTCCCTCTTACAACAAAGACCCAAAAAAACAAGTGAATCGATTATCTATGACAATCTAGGAGCCCTGAATATCAAAGGCAAAGTTGAGGAATCGGACTGAGTGGCATGGAGAGGGAGAGATGGTTCACAAGCAGTGAGGAGTTGACAGACCTGACCGGGCAATACCCAGAGCCCTTCAGGACAGATCAGCTCGTGGTGCACGGTGAGGCAAGCAGCAGCATTTGGGAGGCGTTTTCCAGATCAGGAGAGACCCAGCAGCAGACAGTCTACTCAGCTATCCAGAACCAGTGAGAAGCAGCCCTCGATTGGTGAAAGATAAGTACTCGTGTCTAGCCTACCATGTGTATCTAAAACACCCCCCTCGGGGAAAACATCTCTCCCATTTACCTCCCCGCTCCCCGCTCTGCACTGGGTCAAGGAGGGCTTCAGCAATTGCCGAGTTCCCTGGGCCGGAACTAGGACCCGTCACGAGCCCTGAGCCATTCTCCCAGCCTTGGAGAGGGAACAAATTAACAAACACGGAAAAAATAATCTGCTGAGTCCCCTAAGCCAGGAACTCAGGGTAGGCACAGCTCACTGTGCCTAGGGACAGGTATAAGAGGTCCAAGCACTTTGAGTGCCTTTTACCCCTACACAGACTTGTGTGGGCCCATTTCAACATAGGCCCTCATTACCACAGCACAGCAGGGTATATACCTGAAGTCTAACTTCAACTGTTTCAGCTGTGAAGTGGTAGGTTCCTGACATTTGACACTGCTCTGCCCATTAAGCAGTCTTTATCTACCCACATCAGGGGCCTGAGGACTGATGGCTCCATCTATGTCACCTAGCCACCTGCGACAGGGGCCCAAGAATAAGAGGTGCCCCCCAGTCCTTACAGCGAACAGCACTGGGTGCTCATAGTCCAGCTGCAAATGCCACCCACCTATGTTCTCTAGGGAACAGGGACATTCTTTCCTCCTAGACACTCGGGGACGGCTGTTAGACCCCCATCTTCCTCAGCGTGTGTCCCTCTGGTACAGCCAGATGCCTGGGCCTACATCAATCACCCATGACCATCTAGGACTGTAGGTGAGAGCCTGCACCACACACTTGGTGGACGACTATCTGGACACCTGAGCTGAATCCATACAGGATGAGTGGGTGGACTCCTGGGCTCACATACTTAGTGGCAGGTCTGGGCACCTGGTAGCAGGACCTTGGAGCTTCAGGGACATGGATGATCACGCTAGCTCGCACAAGCAGCCGACTTGGGCATAACAAAACAAGAAGCCAGGACACAGTAAATATAAAATAAATAAACATAATAACTTATTGATGGCTGAGACAAAAGTCAAT